AAGGGAAAAGGCTGTAAAAGAAAAGGAAAGAGCTGCTTTGATGGAAAGGGATAACCGCATACTTGCAGAGATGAACTCTTTAGCAAGAAATCTAGATGTCGAAAGCAAGCAGCCATTTACCAATTTATCTGATGAAGAGGAGTATGATGTTGACAGGGCTGAACCCATGGATGATGATGAATATTTTGGTGGAAGAGATATTATATCCGAATGTTCATCTTACCTTCATCCCCCCTCTCTCTCTCCCCCCTTCCAACTCTGCCAAACCAGCTTTACAAACCCCAAGAGCAACAGTTGGTGGAAAAAGACCCAGGGATTTCTCCCAGAGTCAACCACAACTTCCTCCAAGACCAACTGTGGGTGGAAAAAAAGCCAAGGTCCACATTCCACCACAGCTGCCAAAAATGTGAGGAGTACAAGGAAATCATAGCTGCACAAAATCAAGAAATTTCTCAACTCAAGGCTCAAGGTAATTATATCTCACTTTTTACATGACTAGCACTCACATATTTAATGATAAGATAGAAAATGCAGGGCATTTTCCTGTCTGCTTTTCCTTTTGCTTCTCATTGGATTGACTAATTGTGAGGGGAAAGACGGATACCAGTTGATCATAGTCTATCTTGTATAATTTTACAATAACTCTGAAAGTAGGGAATAAACCATTTTAAAGCACTTTAATAAGGCTACAACTCTTGCAAATTGTATTTTAATGATGCATCTTATTGTGTTTCAAATAGTGATGCTTGTATTACGATATGAATATTATTTTGAAGGGAAGAGTATCTTTCCACATTTACATACTTATATGAATTAAAATACTGGTGACAGTCAAGCAGATTGACCCACTGATTGATTGCTACATTTAATCTTCCCATGTTAGCTAGGTAATTAAAGCTATGATGTAATCCATTTATCTGTTGTAGTGAATGGTTGTTATGAAGAGCTACCCAGACCTGGGAAAGTCCCTGAGATTGTGGCAGCACGCTTCAAGGTAAATGCTTTAAGGCTTAATACCTGGCAATTAGATTGTGAAGCTTAAGTTATCGAATTTATATATTTTTTTTATTATTAGAGCTTAAGAGGCATATCTGACAATCAAATGCAATGTAGACTAAGTTTGTTTAGAGTTTTAAATAATTTCTTACATGGCTATTGTAGGAGGGACTACTTGAAAACTTCTGTGCAGGGAATCAGTTGAAAGTGCTTTCACTGCCTTAGTGGTCATGCACTTTCAAAATTCAAATGTTCACCATAGCCTTCCTTCGATTTAACATTAAAAACATGACATGATTGTTATGAAAAACTTTATGGTTAAATTTGTGTGTCCTTTTAGATGGTTGAGTTATCAAAAGGTAGAGGTGTCTACTTATACGAGGATCACATAAACACAGCCAAGAGTAAAAACAGCCCAACTTCAGCAGCATGTTTCCTGCTCAGCTGCTTTTATAAAAATTCTGAGCTAGTGGGAAAGAATCTGACCGGAGCAAATGCCAGAGAGGGCTTAAATGCTGACATTGTTTCCTCAATTTTGGGTAAGTACATTGCATTTGGTGTTTTTGTCATTTTATTACTATTGGGAATCTGTACACTTGTACATGTTGATCAACATGACTTTCTCAGGGATCAGCCTTGTAAAAAAACTTTGGGACAATCCATATAAAACAAGTGAGGAAAACAACTCCAAGCAAGTATTCAGAAGTTCCTTTGATCTAAGTGATCTCGGATTATTGATCGTGGTATGAGTCTTTCCAAAGTAACACAACCTTGTTGTCATGCATAAGTCTAAAAAGTTAAGCTCCTGTGTTTCTTTTTCTTTGCAGATTTTGTGGTAAAGCAAGGGGGGAAGGCCTCTACAATCAAGCAAGCCCTGAGAAATAAAATTAGTTCTCTAACCACAAGGGCAAGTGGTTGGCAACCTGCCAGGAAAGTAAACAATTGAATCGATTGAATTAAGATTAATTAAAATGATATGATTGGATACTCAGTAGATAGACTATTTTCTATTATGATTTGCACAAGGCTTGCTTGCTTCTCTAATTATTAAATAACAAAGTCAATTTTTTTATTATTACATTTTACAACAACCATTTTTTTATTGGCTTTAATCCCAACTAGAGACATTGTAAGTGACATTGCTGATTTTCATGAAATTTGTTTCTGTTTTACATGATTGAATGATGAAGTCCATTTTACAGATATTCTTCGTTTTAAAACAATGAATAGTTTTTGTTAAGTATCCCAACATTGTGAGAGTCAGTTCTAATTTGCATGGAATTTATTGTTAAAATTTATGAAATAATCCAATGATGGATTTCATTTTAAAATATATATTTTTGCATCAAAAGACAATTTAGAAGCAGTCTATTGTACAAATTTTAGGTTATTTGTCATGGTCAGTTGTACCAAATAAATTAAAGACATGAATTTCATACTTTTGCTTGAATGCTTATCTGACTCGGCCAAGTATATAATACAGCTGAATATATGCCGTATGAACTAGTGGTTGCATGCCTCTTCGTGCATATTAATTTACCTGGCTGCAGGTATGTATGCCATTCATTTATAATATCTTGAATACACTCTAAGTATACTTAAAGTATACTTTAAGTATACTGTACTTGTCAGTTTGCCACTAGTGGTTTTACTCATGAAGTATACTTGAAGTGCACTGCAAAATTTTCAGTACCTTTCAAGTATACTTCAAGTATACTTTTGGGTGTTCCAATTTCAGGTGGGAACAAGTATACTACAAGTATACTTTTAGTAGCTCTGTAAACTATACTTCAAGTCTACTGAAAGTATACTTTGTGTAACTTATTTGCAGTACACTTTGATTACAGAAATAGTATACTAAAAGTGTACTTAATTTTGGTAAGGGATGTGCTGCATGGTATATTAGGGATTTGTTTTATGGGAATTTCAGTCTAATTTATTAATATATTATTAATATGTTCTTAGGATTGATTTTTCAATGGCTCTCTTTTATTGATTTGATTCAGTCATTGATTTTTTTTTCATTTCATTTAAGACTAAGGGCAAGGTATCCATCAAAACACTGCATGGGAAGGCTTCTTGGTATTTGTAAAATGATGTCAAATGACCTGTCACTCAATGAGACACTTGACTGAATATTGATCATAGTAGAGGAATTTGTATTGAGTGTCACAAGTGATACTTGACTGCAATGGTTTTGCTTTGATTTTTGTTATCTACAACACTTGATCTGAAAGTGCTTTGCCACTTACTAAATGAGCTACGCTGTAGAACAGCTTTCTCTAGTTATGATAAAAATGCATAAAGCATATATTTAGCAATGACTATTTGCCCTCAGTAATTCTTGAATGTTATGTTGAGGGAGGATACAGTGTGAACAGCCTTAAAGTGGTCACTGCTTAGAAATCTCAATCTCATACTGTTGAGGTACCATTACAGAATTTGAAAATTCTACAACCTTGATAAAAACATGTGATGCATGAGGTGCATGCAGCCATTAGTGTGTCCTGATGTTCTCATCACATTCAGATGTGTTTGGTGATCTGTTATTGTACAAACCCATGGTAACATGGTGCGATGAAAAAAATTGATACACAGCAAGTGCGCTAACATATAATTCCCTTCAATTCAACCTCTAAACCATCCCTCCCCCTCAAAAAAACAAACAAGACAAAAGTAAACAAACGATGATAAAGTAAAAATCAACATTTCAAGAAAATTGAGACACACGAGGTTGCGCGTAAGAAAAAATTTTTGTTTGGCAAATTTGAAACACAAGAAGATTTGGCCTGAAGATTCCCAAGCCTTACTCCCCCTTCATTCCATTTTGTCTCTTAAACAGTAGTACTATTATAAGGTTCAGAGTTTGTACGTTAATGTAATGCGCAGTATTACGATATCATCAACGAAACCTTTCGCCTGTTGTTGTATCTTTAGTCTTGTAACAATTTATTCTTGGTGGCCTAAATTATATTCTTTTCAATGGTTTTTAATTGTGACCTCCGTGCATTTTAGCAGTCCTTACTAAGAATGTAGCTGGTATGACTAAGTTGTCTAGTCAAAAGTTTTTTCCTTACATTTCGACCCATGAGGGTGACTAGCATCCAATTTCTCGACACAAAATCACACCTGACTCAAACAATAAGGTAACAAGAGTGGAGGAAATGATCGCTAAACTAAAGAACTCTTGATAATTAAACACATTCTCCTTGTCAACACCTTCCCATATCTGTATATACTTTTAAGGAGACCATAGCCAAACTGAGCTGATTGATTCTTTGCTCGATCTCATGTCTCTCTTGGAATAAGGGTTATTATGTAAATTTAATTTCGTGACGATTGAACTAGTCAACACGTGCAGTCACGCGACGAAAGAAATAAAATAACGCGATCTTGAAGAGCTTTGTGTTCTCGGCACCAGACATCTAGCTTAACATTCCCGAGAGTGTTGTTTTTAGCGACTTCGTTAGGCGACTAAAGTAGACGGTGTTTTTACGAATAACATATTTATTGTATTTCAAGGAGAGCACGCACGTGATAAATTCCATGTGAACAATATGGCAAGAGATGGAAATATCGTTCGCTTATAGCTAACTAAGTTTTGCATTTCTTGGGTCGAAAGGAAGAAAAACTTCCAACATTACTTGCCCGGATCATTTGAAGAGGGGGAGCCTGTTTTGCCGGCTGAGACACGAATGAAACCCGTGTTCAGTTTTCGATTTGACTGCCTTATCACAGAAATGACCTCACGTATCCTTTCATTGACGCAAATTATTTGCCGACAAGCCTAAGCTACTTGGTCTGGTGGCTGATAATTAAATTAAAGTTACTTCAAGTACTTTTGCAGAAAGATTTTTTTGTTAATTAAGATGATTACTAAAACAAACAAACTCGAAACATTTAATCGAAGACCTCAACACGAAACCAAACACGCGTGAGCTTTGAGAAAAAAGCTAATGTTGACGTAGAAATAACAATTTATTTCAGCTATCGAAAGTCTCCGTGTGGCGTTAACTCTCTGATGACCTTTTTTGCAGTAAACAGTTTCACCCGTGGATTCTATTTCGGGCCTTGTTTACATTCGTGCGTTCGACTGTTTGCTTTTCCAAAATATTAATGCAAGTTTCTTATCATGAAACTTTCGAAAAGGGAAAATGTCCTTTGTTAAAAACCGAAGGTAAGCCATGATATAAAAAAGGCCCTGTCCTTATAATTTTGCAGTGAAACTACGAGGCGCGGCAGAGTGGTTTCACTTTTGTTTTGAACATTGTTGACGTCATTTCTATGATCAATAAGGTTATAGACAATGAAAACTTGTGATCAATTTGATAATCGACTTGGAAAAACGCTTTGAAAATAAAGACTGTTAAATTGTCAACTTTTAATCCGAGATCACGAGATCCTAAAGAGCTTTGATTCCCTGCTTAAAATAGTATGCTTAATTAAGTCACGTTTTCTCGGAATCAAGGACACCCAAGGTAAAAAATTACGACATCTGTAGAGATCAATTTTAGGATCACGAGAGCTGTCTTGAAGAGATCTGATTGGTTGCTTTAAATAGGATGCCTCCTCAGGCAAGCCTTCTCGGAATCTAAAGCACATTTCGCGGCTGTGTTTTTTTCTGCAATTCGTGATGGAGTCGCTTCTTAAAAACCTCAAAGAGCATGTAACATGTTCGATTTGTCTGGATACTTACACCAAACCCAAGACCATTTCTTGCCTTCATACGTTCTGCTGTGAATGCCTGGAGCGACATGCCTTAACGAGCCAAAAACAAGGGTTTTATCGATGCCCCGAGTGTCAGGCACAAATTTGCATCCCTGAAGGAAAGCGTTTTGATAATCTGCCAAGCAGTTTTCTGCACAACAGTTTGTTGAGTCTTCTTGCTGTTCGACGCAGTGGCGAAGGAAGCGAGATCAGCTGTAGTACATGCCAGAAGAAGAGCGCTGAGATCAATTACTGCTTCGATTGCGAGAAGTTTATGTGCCCAGACTGTGTGAAAGCACACGAAGTGTTTCGAGATACTATATTTCAGGGACACAAAGTCACACCAGTTCGACAGTTTCAAGCTGCAGACTACGAGGCCTTGTTGAAACGGCAATCGTTTTGCTCGGAGAAGTATCACGAGAAAGAGGTAACGAAGTTCTTCTGCGTGGGATGTCAAAGCTGTGTTTGTCAAGTTTGTATTAACACCGATCACAAAAGCCATGATGTTGTTCCGCTTGAAAAGGCAGCAGACGATGAAAAAGCAAACATCACTGCCCGAGCCGAGCTTGTAAAAGAGAAGAAAGAGGTCTGCCGAGAAGTTATTCGTGAATTTGAGAAGACGGAGCATGAGTTGGAAACAAACATTAGCACAGCTAAACGTCGAGTTTCCCAAGCAACCGAACAGATGATGGGAAAGCTTCGCCAACTGGAGCGTGAAGCCATTACTACCCTCGAGAAGTCTCGCGTGTCGAGGATTGCGAAGTTACATTCTGGAAAAGCATCGGTTGTGTCTTTTGAAAAGCAACTTGACCAAGCATTTGAGTTCAGTAACAACCTGGTTGAGAGGAGCTCAAGCTCAGACATAATGCAAAACAAGAAAAATGTGCAAGAACGAATTGAAGACCTCATTAAGACCACAATGCCAACACTTCCGGTTAGCTCGTGCGTGGAGTTTGTGTCGACATGTGAACCAGAGAGTTTGAGTCTAGGATTTACGAAATTCAGCGAAACAGATGTGCAAGGATCGACCGTGGAAGGCTTGGATCAGAATTTTCAAGCTGGTGTAGAAGCAGAGCTGCTGATTTGTCCCAAAACAAGCGAAGGAGAAATCAGAAACACTCAGCACACAGGTCGTGTTGAAATACACATAGACCCTGCTGATCAGGTGAGGAGTTTGGTGACGAGTGAAAAAGAAGATGAATGTTTCCAGGCAAAATTTATGGTGAAAGTACCAGGTACATATAAAATAGAAGTTAAGGTAAACGGACAGAGACTTGTCGAGAGTCCTTTTACTATTGTGGTCAAAGCACGAGAGTTTAACATTGTTGGTAAGTTGGACTTTCAGGGAGAAGTGCTTCAGACGCTGGGTGGCATTGCAGTGAACAGTAAAGGTGTTATTGCTGTGGCTGATTATAAAGGTCACTGTATCCTGGTATTTGATGAGACAGGAAAGTTTGTGCGAAAGATTGGTGGTCAAGGTGACAAGGATGGGCAATTTGAGAATCCGCCTGACGTCACGTTCCTCAGCGATGACGAGATTCTAGTGGCAGATCAATGTAATAACCGAATACAGCAGCTAAATGTTCAGACAGGGAACTTTGTGAAAAGCTTTGGAGAACAGGGAAGTGGAGATGAAGAGTTTGAGAATCCTGTAGGTGTTTGTATTACAAGTGATGGACGTTTTATCGCTGTAGCGGAGTTTGTTAACAGCAGAATTCAGGTGTTTACAATGGATGGTGAACCTGTGTTCAAGTTTGGAGACAGCGGCCCAGAAAGGCTAGATAATCCAGTCGGCTGCGTTTGTTACGAGGAAAAGTTCTTTGTAGCTGACAAGAATAATAACTGTGTGAAAGTGTTTGATGGCAAGGGACGGTTTTTGTACAAGTTTGGAGAAAAAGGAAACGGTGATGGACAGTTGAATTCTCCGTATGGCTTATGTGTTGACAAGTATGGCAACCTTCTCGTATGTGACCCGGGAAATGGACGCATTCAACAGTTTTCATCGGAGGGAACTTTTACTGGCAAGACAAGTGCTAAGGTAACCCTAAGAGGACCTTGCGGTGTTGCCACAATGCCAGATGATCGGATTTTAATCTCTGAATGCCTTAAGAAAGAAGTAAAAATTTTGAGATAAATCTACAAATAACAATTTCATTACCAGTGCGACATGGATATGTTGAGGCTTCATGTTTTTTTTTATCATTTGGCAAAAATTCTCTTAAAATGTTTTAATAGACGGCCAGGACTGACGACTAAGAATTTTCACCATTGCACTGACACATTCTTCTCGTTTGTTCTTTTCTTTGGTAAATTACTCGTCATAATGAAGCCGAAAAATAGCTTATGATCAAAGGGACACGGAGTATATCGCTGTTAAGGTTGCTAAATTTTGGGAACCTTTTTTATATCTTAACTTAAACAAATCGGATCTTCTTAAATGGAAATGTTAAGGACTTAATGCTACGCAATGTTTGAATGGATCGACTTTTATGGACAACATGGTCGATAGGCTTGATAAAAAATTGATTTTGAGCTAAAATATTTGTTAACTGTTTCTTGAACTACAAAAAGCTCAAAATATGTCAAGCGATTGCACCAGAGAGCTTTCCTTGAACTACACATTATTTTCGATAATTGTAAGTCGTGTTATTTACTTAATTTACCAGTAGAATTTAGCAGACTGTTGAAATGCATAAGAGAGGTGATCATGTGATCAAAAAACTTCGTTTGATTTTGTATAAATTAAATGAGGACTTCTTTACATTGTGATAAGTGCATAATTAATACGTGCATGCTTCTGTAGCTGGCCTGATTGTTTAGCGAAGTTGAAAATGAAAAATATCTTTACTTTTTGTGTTGTGTTTAAGTTTTTGTGCTACATGGACCGACAAGGCGAAGGAATTGAAACAAATATGACAAAATGGTTTGTTTTACCATGCTTAACAGTTAGCAAGCCAGATTTTAGATAAGCAGTCGTGACGTAGATTATTCTCATAAAAAATAAAAATTTATTACATTTTGTCATTGTTACAGAAAACGTTGGTGGGATTTTTGATTCTTATACTATGAAGAACACTTTGAAAAATCAGTGGAATATTAATTGAACATGTTTAAACTAATTAGTGATAATAAAGAAGTTTATTTTGATACTTTTGAATGGATGTTAACTCCCTGTTATTATACTGTAGTTTGAAACGAACACTTAACTAATTGCGTTGTCAATATAAGTGGAATTCTGTATGTTAACATTGTTTAGTTTTCAATTTATAATAAACTTGCTCTTTACTTAACTAAGAACTTGTAACGATAATCGTTGAATATATTAGGCTCTAGGGGGCTATATTATCTAGCGGGATCTGCTCGAACGGTTTGTTCATCGGCCTCTTTGCTTTGCCTCGTTTGTCTCTTCACGGGTTTCGTCATCCCTCGAAAATTCCAGAATGTGTTTATTATTTATGTATTCTTGTTATTACACTGACTCTTTGGAAAGTAAGATATTTAGCTTATTACACGGACTAAAACTTGTCAGATATAACTAACTAAGAAGGGTACTCTCAATACCCTTGTAGTTCTGTCCATTTTTCAATGACTCTTACTAAAGAAAGAATGTTTTTTTTTATTTTTTAACAATGACTCGGTGATGTCTGCATTCAATTCTGACTTATGTGGGTATCAGAGCTTGCTGTGGTTTCTGTAGAATTAAATCAAGCATTTCTCTGGGATTATTGATGACATTAATCTCATTTGGAACAAATTTTTAACAAAAAATAAAAATATGCATGCTGTTGCTGCAGTTTGAAAACATTTTTGTAAATTTCAATGTGCATTGTAATCTTTCGTACCATGAGGAATTATCAACCCTTTCATTCTCAGGAGTGACCAAGACAGAATTTCTCCTTACAATATAAATACAATATCAGGCACACAAGTGATGAGAATAAAGAAATATATAACTTAGGGTGTGAGTGGTTACTTGATTCAATGCCAGTTTCTCCTAACTAATATCAAAATAATTGTATGGCAGATAGTAAGGAGAATTACTATTGAGATCGTGGGAATGAGGGGGTACATGCACATGATAGACAAGAAGCTTTTAGTCATGATTGGAAAAAAGCAGAAAAGACAATTTTTTAGTTTTTTTACTAAAAAATAAATAACATCTATGTTAGCGTACAGAAAGTCTAGTTAGGTATCTCGCACCAATCAGATCGCCGCATTAGGGTATATATCTCGCACCAATCAGAGCGTCGTTTTTGTTCTTTCGTTTGAGGGGTGTTTAAATTTCAACGAAGTAATGGGGGATTCGGAGAGAGCGGTTGGTAGAATGGAATCATCTTTTAAAATGAGAAATGTTGGCTTTTCTGTGTTTTTGACGTGTATTTTACCGCGCTTCATGATAAATGCGATACTACTGGACAGATGAAAGGTACCAGATTACATATAGTAAGCGTGTTACACATGGTGTGAAAATGGTGGATAGTTGTTCGAGAGTAAATGGAGTTCTGTACATTGTAGCACGATCATGGTTATCGTTCCTTCACGACGAGAGTGAGTGGAAAAATTTTGAATCAAATATTGCTTGAGGTGTTGATGAATTGCACCAAACATTTTTATTTGAGTAGTTCTTTAATGGCAAGCTGTGTTGCAAGATTCATGATTTGTTAATTGTCCCGATTATATTTTTCTGGATTGGTTTGCTCGGTGCCATCTCTAGATGAATGTCTGATTAAAAGTAACTATGGACGATTTTGTGTATGTTTTCGATGCCTGGAGAAAGTGATCTTGTGGAGTCGTTTGTGTTTGGCCAAGGACGAATTCAGATACCATCGTTAGCATGTTTATTTGATTTTGTTATCTGGAATGAATGATTTACGGAGGTAAGTTAATATCTGCGAGCGTCGAAAATTTATCAAGTTGAAGGAACAGTTTTGGTCCCGGTCCTCATTTTTGTCAACAAAATAAACACATACCGCTTTAAAAGATGATAACGCTGACCACGTGCAAAGCTGTCAATTGTTTCTCGACTGTTGTGTGTGATAATATTCAATGGTGACATCACATTTACATCTACATCTGCTTTTATTACGTTGGTAAATTTTGCACAGACATCACACAAACCAACTCGCGCGCTAAGAAAGAAGACTATATGAAGGCTTGAAATTATATTTCGATCGATTTTCGTAAAGAAATGGGCCAGGAATATTCCACAAAAGTGCAAATAATCGTGAAAGCTGATCACGGAAAAGCGATTGCGTGACGCTCGGTAAGTTGTAGGATGACATGTTATCACATACCAGACGAAAAAACTCTTTAGATTCTCAGCCTGCATTTTGTACCCACTCTGCAGTCTGCTGTCTACATTTTGTATCCGGTCTGTAGTCTGCATTTTGTACTAAAAGGTATCCGTGGCACCAGTACAGTTTATCTTGGTTACAGTTATTCGCACAACACACACACAATCTACGACAAAATACCTATGTGTGAATTAATTCGACATTTTCATTCTTTTCCGCGTTGATACTCTTCTTTCCTTTTGAAATAATGAAGACATCACCTACAATGTTTCAAGTAATCCACCCACCCCCCCAAAAAAATAACTCTTGCATGCATAGTATGCCTATGTTTTCTCTGTTATAGTGACTAGCATTTAAAATCGGGTTGTAACCAATCAATCTTCAGTTACAATGTTCTCAATTCATAACACAGAAACTTGAACTTCTGTACCCAAGAGTATATTGAACATTGTTAACCCTTTACACTTCGTCATCATCATGCATTTTCTCTCTAAGGTTCTCTATACATGTCCTAAGGTGCTAACAAGGAGTATTTGTTTCATTCTCAAGACCTTAATGTGTGATTCAGGGGTGATATTGTAAGGAGAAATTTAGATGCTGGTCTGAGTCTTGGGGGTTAAAGGGTTAAGATCTGGAAGGGGCTGTCTGTGCTCATTTGTTCCACAGGGTAGGTAACTAAGCAAACTTATGAGTATCTTGGACTGCATTGTGTGCCAGATTTTTCATTATGAAATGGAACATGCCTCGAAAATTATTTTCATCTTTATTCATGTTGTTGAAATCTTGCCATATACACTTTGCTCTTCACCATTCAGTGGTACACGTAGCTCATGTTTTTAATTTTTGATGGTTAAAATTGAATTTGGGGCAATGTTGTGAAGATCAGTACTATGCAAGCCATTCTATTTTCTGATGTTTTGTGAAGTTAAACAGAGTAGAAGATACTAATAAATTTTTTTTCAAACCATTTTTGAATTTATCATTGGCTAATTGTACCTGTTAACCATTTAACTCCTATGAGTGATCAAGAGAGAATTTCTCCCTATAATATCAAGCAAACAAGTAATGACAATTTAAAAAATTATGAATTAGGAGAATTATTAGTTGATTCGATACCAAATTCTCCAAACCCACATCTTAAAATTATATGGCAGACAGTAAGGAGAATAAATAATTTGATCTTAGGAATTAAAAGGTTAATATAACAGTTACAGATGTGACTAGATGTCTTTTCAGAGATAAAATCCAGATGAAGAAAATCAGCTGAAACCAGAACTGAAGTTACATGTAGAAGTGCTGCACAAAAATTGATCCACTCAGTTACTGGGTTGCATCAGTGGTAGATTCCTATGGCTTGAGAGGTTACCACTAGAAGGATTGGAAGATAAGCTGATGGTGTTTTGGTTTACTTCCTGTCTGATACTGATCACCAACTTGGGAAGAAAAAAGAAGTTGAGACAGATCACTAAGCTAACATTTATCATACGAGAAAGCATTAAACATGTATCACTATAAGCCAGAAAATAGTATTTGGCAAGGTGCATTGTTCTCGAGCATCTTTTTTCATAAGTTGAAGCTTGATTTGATGAAGAATCTAACTTGAGTTATTTATCCACAGGAAGTTCCAGCTCATGAGTGTGATATTGGAATGAAGCTTGAAGCATTTGATCAAACAGATCCCAGCACCATAACAGTAGCTACGGTCTCACAAGTAGTAGGACGCACCATGTGGGTGTTACTAGATGGATACAAGAATGATTCTGTGGAACGCATCTACGATGTGGAATCATCGGATCTTTTTCCAGTTGGATGGTGTAGCATGAATGGGCACCCATTCATTACATCGAACGTTCAGCGTAAGAAATTTGGACCAATAAACTGTGATGTGACAACTGCATTTGTTCGATCATAAGAAATTTTAACCCAAGCTCATTAACCCATTTTACTCCCAAGATCTCGTTAGTAATTCTCCTTACTGTCTGCCATTCAATTCTTATGATGTTACTTTGGGGAATTTGGTATTGGATCAGCTAACGTAAAAATCCCTTAATTGATATTTTTCTTTATTCCCATGCCTTTTCTGCTTGATATTGTATTGATATTGTAAGGAGAAATTCTTTCTTGGTCACTCTTGGGAGTTAAAAGTTTGAGACCAAAGTGGAAAAGGTGAATTAAAAAAGATTGGAGAAATTTGGTTACAGATGATGAGATTTATAAAATAAGTTGAGTCAAAAAAAATTCTTTCTTTTCTTACACGCGATATCTATTTGTTTAGTGTTGGAATTTCAAAATCGTAATGGAAGTCCCTTTTTTCTACAATTTGTGTGTCACCTTTTTGAAAATGTTTCAATGTCACCAAAATACACTTTAGAACAAGATTTAAAGTTGCAAAATCAGCGATATGATTTTTGCAGAAGCTAGTGTAGGTTCTCTTTTGATGAAGACTGTCTGTTACCTTCTTGTTAAGTTTTCTTAACGTCCAACAGCGCATGAACGATAACTGAGTGATCTTCCTGAAGGGTACATAGTTCAAAGGACGGATAATACTATCCAACGGATAAATCACCATCTAGCGGATAAGTGTTGACAGGACATACTGAGGTATGTACAAGATAGCGATTTATCCAGTGGATAGCGTTATGGACTCTTTGAACAACCGGGGCCAGATGCATACCTGACTGTGTTTCTTTTATCATCTTTGCTCAGGTCCTCCTGAGGAAAACACGCGTCTTGCTTCGCTGAGGTATTTTAGAAATTGTTGTTACGTATTTGAAGTAAGCTGATTTCGATTTCATGTAAACAGAATACATTTATTAGCGATCTATTAATGTTGTGATGATCTTGGCATCCGAGAACAGTGAATGTAGACTTATTGTAATGTGAGATCGTGTCAACATCAACAACATCTCAGTATTAATTCTCATCACCGTCTGCCATATATTTTCCACCAGTTTTGTTCTTAGAATTTGCTTCTCAGTCAAGTAACATCATCTAGTTAATAGTTTTCTTTCTTCTCCTTACCTTTTTGCGCATCTATGTATTAATAGTATGAGGAGAAATTACTAACTGATCATTCCTGTGAGTGGAAGGTTTAATTTGAGTTAATCTCTTGCAGAACCACAAGACAAAGAGAAAGTAACAAAAAAGCGACAGATACAAGCACAGCCAACATCACCAATATCTCAACAACTAGAACTTATGAAACGAGTACTACAAATTCTACAACTACGCCTCTAAATTCTGTAAACGTTACACCTGTCACAGATGTAAACAACGTGACAAGCGTGATCCAGCGTGACACAAATCACCAGCAGAGCGTTAATATGACATCCATAAACACTGAAAACGAAGTCAAAATGGAGTCCAATTCTCACACAGAAAAAACGGAGTCTTGTTCTCTCGAAGAGGTGAACGCAAAGTCACAGGAGAAACAGTCACCCATATCTTCTAAGGGTAAATATGATTTGGGGCCCTCGACACTTGTCCCGCGGGATTACGGTGAAGAGGAAGAGGAGGAAAGTGCGGAAAAGAAGAAAGTTGAAGCTGTGATCGATCTGACAGAAGACGACGAGGTTGAGGTGGAGAGAAAGGAGAGTAAACCTGTTGAAACCAAACCAGGTCTACCTTCGAAGGATGATTCAGGTAGGCGTTCATGACGGCTTTGTCATTCTTTAAGTAAAATGTCGAGCCGCACTTTATAACTTGTTTATTCTTGTACCTACAATCGGGAACAAAATTTGATCTTTTAAACCCCCTGTTACTATAATTTTATCTCTTTTACCGTATTTAAGTTAACCTACTTGCCCCCCCCCCCCCCCCCCCCCCCCCAGAAAAGAAACAGAATAAAGCAAAACAAAACAAACAAAAACAATGTTGAACTTTTAGCTAAATACAGGCAACATTGAATGGTAGAAGGGGGGGGGGGGTCTTCTCATTAACTAAGAGTGTGGTAAAACATGAGTGGTATTCTACACAGATAGGGCTCTTCAAACATGATGTGTCAACTAATTTTGACACTGACTGTAGTCTCCTAGGTAGCCGCTGTTCTGTCACGGCACACACCACGCTCCGTCCTCCTTGCGTGAAGGGACCAAATAACGGCTACGAAGAAAGAGACTTGAAATCGTACTTCCCCTTGCTCACGAAAAGATGAAAAACATCTTTCTGTGTTTTATTATCGTCCTATTCTATTTCTTCACACGACGCTTCCAAAAATGCTGATCTTAGGAGTGTATTAAACGCGTGTCACGTAGCTCAGTCGCCATAGAGACTTTTTGTGCTTCATTGGAAGAAAATTGGAGTGCAGATTTCGAAGATCTGAGTCTCCATTTGTTATAAAGAGTTAGAATTTTTTCTTAATTTCACGCTTGTGGCAAGACGAGAAGAAAATCTTTCTACATGGTAGACTCTATGTTGATCTTTCTTCAAAAATTTGCTTTTGTTTTCCTTTATAGGGATCTGTATTTATGTCAAAAAATCCTGTGAACCGGGCCCGTTTCTTAAGCAAGCTAAAGTAGCAAGTCTTCCTGCTGTCATTGGTCCAGCAGGTCCCAACATTGTCTTTAGACAACTTGTTGAGCAAATTGTTCTCAGCGCTCATTCGTCGAAACAAGTTCTGAAGCTGCTTGCTTCTGAGACTGATAAAATGACTATTGCTTCAATTTTGAAGGTACAGTGTTCTTTTCTGTAGGGTTTTTTGAGCTTTGGTAGGTTCGAAAGCATGAATGGCGAAGGGGCGAAAGTGCTCGCCAGCCAGCTCGCCCACGACTTAAATCCATATTTTTTAAATTTAGTCTTGGAGATTCAGTAGTAAACGCAGAGCATAGATAAAGAAGCTGAAGGCAGTCGTTTTAGTTGCCACTGGCAGTCACCATAGTTATTATTTTCTGAAATATTCCTTAGATTATTTTCACAGTCCTTGTCATGTTTGCTCGACTTCCAACGTGGGTATCCAGTGGTTTGTGACGTCAGACACCTGGTGCTAAGCAACACCGCTGTGTGACAGGTGGACTCAGTCAATTACAGAATCATATCGGTTTTCTGCCTTTATCTTTACGAGCGTGATGTTTGTTATTTTCTATTGCAGACGTTAAAAAACAAACTCTCTTTGTGCGAGAATCTCATCAGTTTGAATAAAGTCGCACTGTGTGCGCACTGTGATGCTCAGAAAGGTTAGAACTATGCATCGATAATTCGAAGCTTTAACATCATCCTCCGGGTAAAATTGTGTTCCAATACCCCGTCCAAAAGCTGGAATTGATCGTCAACTTTTTGTAAAAGGTAACATTAGGGTGGGTTAAGTAAAGGTTAAGAAAAGTGTTCTTAGACAACTGCTACTTGTACTCCAAATCAAAGTCAACATGGTTTAAAGCCCCAGTAGGAAGAAGTCAAGTCATTTGGTTGTGTACAAGCGTGGTTGGGGAAAATTGAACACGGGATCACTAAGGGAACTGCTCGTCGTAGCGGGACTCGAACTCGGGACTTCGGGATTCCAAGTTCAGTGCCCTCATCAATCGACCACACCACCTTTCGGGTTAATATAATTTTTCCCGTGTCTTAACTATATCAGATACCAGAAAAGTTTTGTCTGTTAATATCACTTTTCCTAGTATCTTAATCATATCAGATACCCGAAAGTTTTGTCTGACCCCAAATTTTGACTATCTTTTCACTTGAGTTTTTAAACTTATATTTAAATTTTTGTTCTGTTTCAGTTCCTCTTTCTCCACCCGCTTCATCTCTCCGCAAAAATTACGAATCGTCGACAACACCAAGTCCAGCGACATCACCCTTGAACGACACACCATCCCCAATAAGAAAAGCCGTCCCTAAAGTAGATAGCCACCTGGTGGGTTATCCCGCGGGTAATCCTGCGGGTCAACCTGCAAAGTCCCTTCCCGTTCTAAAGATTGCCCTCCCTAAAGCAAAGAATATCCCGAAAGCTGAACCTTTTGTAAAGAATCTCCCACCAGAGCCCCCCAGACCCGAACCCTCAGGATCACCGAGTATTTCGGGTTCGCGTTCATCAAAACACGTATCTCAATGGAGCGTTCAAGATGTGGTGGATTTTATAAGAACAACTGACTTTTTTGAGTTTGCCGACGAGTTTCAGAGACAGGTAATAGTGAGGTTTTATTACTATTGTTAATAAGATGGCAAGTTGTCTCTTTTTCTGGGGGATTCATTCAAGTCTGAGGTCGATTTTTGTGTTAAAATATCGAGGTCAACATTTATTGACTGTATGTTACATGATTAGTGCCTTTTAGTCCCCAATATTTTGTAAATAATTCTGAGATGGTAGAATTTATCTTCCTACATGAAATTTATCGGGAGGAGGTCGAAGAGTGTAAAGGGAGGAAGTATAGAATATTGGGATCAATATCAGTATCTGGGCAACTGCCCACCTACCCCTCCCCTAACCCAACAACAGTCAATTGATAACAAGTCAGGGTGAATGTTGGGTTAGGGGAGGGGTAGGTGGGTAGTTTCCCAGATACTGATATTGATCCGAATATTGACTGCGAATTTACTCCTAATGAGAAGGTATCATAAGAATACTTCAGAGCTTTTTTTTTTTTTTTTTTTTGGGGGGGGGGGGTCAGGTAAATTTTATTGGTACACAACGTAAATTCTCCCGCCCCTCCCTCCCCCCCTCTCCCCTTCCTCACGCTGTAAATAAAGACAAGTCCTTGAGTAGAAGTTACATGTTGATAAAAACTTCAGGGAGTATATAGGTGAGCAAAATTATTTTTCTTTATCCACATCGCAGGAAATTGACGGTCGAACTTTAACGTTACTATCCTTAGACGAGATTCACAAGTGTCTTGGAGTAACTCTTGGACCCGCCATTAAACTTCACTTTACTGTACAAAAACTGAAAAAGAAATCTCGTAACACAGGCTGTTACATTTCATTCCAACTACGCATTCTACAATTCGGGCCTCCAGTCCTGAGAATGAGGGTGCGGAAGGTCCGTTTATCGTGTGTGTTTTATGAAGCTTGTTTTATCTGATCCAGCGCATTCCAGCGGCAAATCCTCTTTATAACCTGATGTTCCCTAAAGTTTGAAGCTTTTTTGTCTTCAAACTCCTCGATAACTTTCTTATCGGTTTCAAGCCGGGTCTGAATGGCGCATTTGCCTCTGCATTGCGTCCCTTACTTAAGGAAATGTTCCTCATCGGAAAAAAATTATCTATTACAAGGAAATCTAATCTGGTACGGTGGATACTGGGAACGTACGTAAGCCCACCATTCACTGCTTAAATTTTGAAGACAGCGGTCTTCATTATTAAGTCTACAATTCCTCTTCTACGTACTATTGGTTACTGTTTACGAAGACTATTTTTTTACAAGTACTATTTGTTGAGAAGTGCGGTAATGATTGGCTTAAAGACTGGAGTGTAAACTCACCTCAAGTCTTCTCACTGCATCTCTCAACTGACTGCACGTTTGCAGAGCTCAGAATCGTTTCGACTTCATATCAGCAGTGTACTAACAAGTGAACGTGCAAATGAAAATATCTCGATCTGTGCTGTGATTTCAAGATTTCGTAGTGTCTTGGTTTTAGATGTCATCCAAGATCACGTGCAGAGACCTTAAATGCAGTTGTAGCAATGTATGTGTGTTTGTGGGGGGGGGGGGAGAGGGGAAATGGAGAGGAGGAAGGGAAGGGGTTGGGGGGGGAGGAGGAATCTTTGAAGATTCAAATTGTGATCTTGATTATTAAACACATTCTTGTTGCACTCACGTCTCTCTTCGTACAAGGATTATCATTCAAATTTAATTTCGCGACGATTGAACTCGTTAACACTTGCAGTCACGCGACGGAATAAATAAAATCACGCGATCTTGAAGAGCTTTGTGTTCTCGGCGCCAGACATCTTCAAGTACTTTTGCCGAAATATTTTTTGTTAATCAAATTAAAGATAATTACTTAAACAAACAAATTCGAAAAATTTAATCGAAGACCTCATAACACGCTTGAGCTTTGAGAAAAAAGCTAATGTTGACGTAGAAATAACAGTCTATTTCAACTGTCAAAAGTCTCCGTGTGGCGTTAACTCCCTGATGACCTTTTTTGCAGTAAACACTTTTACCCGTGGATTCTATTTCGGGCCTTGTTTACATTCGCTCGTTTGACTGGTTGCTTTTCCAAAATATTAAAACAAGTTCTTATCATGAAAAATCCGAAAAGGGAAAATGTCCTTTATTAAAAACCAAAGAAAAGCCATGATGTAAAAAAAAAGGCCCTCTCCTTATAATTTTGCAGTGAAACCACGAGGCGCAGCTGTTTCAGTTTTGTTTTGGACATTGTTGCTGTTCTGTAGAGATCTGATTGGTTGAATTAGCATGCCTCCTCAGGCAAGCCTTCTCCGAAACTAAAACATATCGCGGCTGTGTTTGTCTGAATTCATGATGGAGTCGCTTCTTAAAAACCTCAAAGAACATGTAACATGTTCGATTTGTCTGGATACTTACACCAAACCCAAGACCATTGCTTGCCTTCATACGTTCTGCTGTGAATGCCTGGAGCGACATGCCTTAACAAGCCAAAAACAAGGGTTTTATCGATGCCCCGAGTGTCAGGCACAAATTCGCATCCCCGAAGGAAAGCGTTTTGATAATCTGCCAAGCAGTTTTCTGCACAACAGTTTGTTGAGTCTTCTTGCTGTTCGACGCAGTAGCGAAGGAAGCGAGATCAGCTGTGGTACATGCCAGAAGAAGAGCGCTGAGATCAACTACTGCTTTGATTGCGAGAAGTTTATGTGCCCAGACTGTGTGAAAGCACACGAAGTGTTTCGAGATACTATATTTCAGGGACACAAAGTCACACCAGTCCGACAGTTTCAAGCTGCAGACTACGAGGCCTTGTTGAAACGGCAATCGTTTTGCTCGGAGAAGTACCATGAGAAAGAGGTAACGAGGTTTTTCTGCGTGGGATGTCAAAGCTGTGTTTGTCAAGTTTGTATTAACACAGATCACAAAAGCCATGATGTTGTTCCGCTTGAAAAGGCAGCAGACGATGAAAAAGCAAACATCACTGCTCGAGCCGAGCTTGTAAAAGAGAAGAAAGAGGTCTGCCGAGATGTTATTCGTGAATTTGAGAAGACGGAGCATGAGATAGAAACAAACATTAGCACAGCTAAACGCCGAGTTTCCCAAGCAACCGAACAGATGATGGGAAAACTTCGCCAACTGGAGCGTGAAGCCATTACTACCCTCGAGAAGTCTCGCGTGTCGAGGATTGCGAAGTTACATTCTGGAAAAGCATCGGTTGTGTCTTTTGAAAAGCAACTTGACCAAGCATTTGAGTTCAGTAACAACCTAGTTGAGAGGAGCTCAAGCTCAGACATAATGCAAAATAAGAAAAATGTAGAGGAACGAATCGAAGACCTCATCAAGACTACAATGCCAGCACTTCCGGTTAGCTCGTGTGTGGAGTTTGTGTCGACATGTGAACCAGAGAGTTTGAGTCTGGGATTTACGAAATTCAGCGAAACAGATGTGCAAGGATCGACCGTGGAAGGCTTGGATCAGAATTTTCAAGCTGGTGTAGAAGCAGAGCTGCTGATTTGTCCCAAAACAAGCGAAGGAGAAATCAGAAACACTCAGCACACAGATCGTGTTGAAATACACGTAGACCCTGCTGATCAAGTAAGGAGTTTGGTGACGAGTGAAAAAGAAGATGAATGTTTCCAGGAAAAATTTGTGGTGAAAGTACCAGGTACATATAAAATAGAAGTTAAGGTAAACGGACAGCGACTTGTCAAGAGTCCTTTTACTATTCTGGTCAAGGCACGAGAGTTAAATGTTGTAGGCAAGTTGGACTTTCAGGGAGAAGTGCTTCAGTTTCCAGCCGGCATTGCTGTGAACAGTAAAGGTGTTATTGCTGTGGCTGATTATAGTGGTCACTGTATCCTGGTATTTGATGAGACAGGAAAGTTTGTCCGAAAAATTGGTGGTCAAAGTGACAAGGGTGGGCAATTTGAGAGTCCGATTGACGTCATATTCCTCAACGATGACGAGATTCTAGTGGCAGATGAACGTAATCACCGAATACAGCAGTTGAATGTACAGACAGGGAACTTTGTGAAAAGCTTTGGAAAAGAGGGAAGTGGAAATGGAGAGTTAAAGAAACCTACAAGCGTTTGTATCACAAGTGATGGACGTTTTATCGTTGTAGCGGATCAGGATAATAGCAGAATTCAGGTGTTTACAATGGATGGTGAACCTGTGTTTAAGTTTGGAGAAAGCGGCCTCAAAAGGCTGGATCATCCGTTCAGCTGCGTTTGTTACAAGGAAAAGTTCTTTGTATCTGAGTTAAAAAATAACTGGGTGAAAGTGTTTGATGGGAAAGGACAGTTTTTGTACAAGTTTGGAAAAAAAGGAAACGGTGATGAACGGTTGATTCTGCCGAGTCGCTTTTGCGTTGACAAGTATGGAAATCTCCTCGTATGTGACCCGAAACATAGACGCATTCAACAGTTTTCATTGGAGGGAAATTTTAGCGGCGAGACAAGTGCTAAGGTAAACCTAATGTTACCTGTGTGTGTTACCACAATGCCAGATGATCGGATTTTAATCTCTGATTTCTATGAGAAAGAAGTAAAAATTCTGAAATAAATCTGCAAATGAGTAACGATTTCATTACCAATGTAACATGGTTATGTTGAGGCTTCATTTTTTTCCATTTAGCGATAATTCTCCTAAAGTGTGTTGTTAGAAGGCCAAGATTTATGACTTGAAATTTTTCACCATTGCACTGGCAAATTTTCTCGTTTTTTTTTCTTTGGTAAATTACTGCATCATATTCAAGACATGAATTGAAGCCGAAAAATAGCTGTTGATCTAAGGGGCCCATAATGTATTGCTGTAAGTTGCAATAATCGCCAGCTACATGTGCTGGGGCTTTTTAAGTTTTGAGAACCTTTTTTACATCTTAACATAGACTAATCGGATCTTCTCAGATGGAAATATTTAGGACTTAATGCTACGCAATGTTTAAATGGATTGACTTTTAAGGACTATATGGTCGATAGACTTGAGGAAAAATTGATTTTGAGCTAAAATATTTGTTAACTGTTCCTTAAACTACAAAAAGCTCAAAATATGTCAAGGGATTGCACCAAAGAGCTTTCCATGAACTAATTGCGTAATTGAGATTGACCATACTACACATTATTTTCGATAATGATAAGTCATATTATTTACTTAATTTACCAGTATAATTTAGCAGACTGTTAAAATGCATAAAAGAGGTGATCATGTGATCAAAAAAATTCGTTTGATTTTGTATAAATTAAATGAAGAGTTCTATACATTGTGATAATTGCTAAATTAATGCGTGCATGCTTCTGTAGCTGGCCTGACTGTTTAGCGAAGTTGAAAATGCCGAGAATCTTTACTTTCAGCTCGATAAGCTTTTGTTAGAAAAGTTTTTGTGTTACATCAACCGACAAGGCGAAGGGATTGAAACAAATATGTCAAAATGGTTTGTTTTACCATGCTTAACAGTTAGCAAGCTAGATTTTAGTGAAGCAGTCATGACGTAAAATAACTAGTCACTTTAAAAAAATACCAATTTATTACCTCACATTTTCGTCAGTTTTATGTTTTCGTTATTATTATGTTTGTGGGATTTTTGATTCTTATACTACGATGGAACACTTTGAAAAATCAGTAGAATAGTAATTGAACATGTCAGTGATATTGAAGAAGTTTATTTTGATACTATGCAATGGATTTAAACTTCCTCTTATTTTACTGTAATCTGAAACGAATACTTGACTGATTGTATTGCCAATACAACTGGAAATCTGTATGTTTAACATTGCTTATTTACGATTTAAATAAACTTGATTTTTACTTTACTGAGAACTTGTAACGATAATCATTGAATTTAATTAGGCTCTACGTGGCCATATTCACCGCGCGTGATCAGCCCGCACGGCTTGTTCGTCGGCCCCTTTACTTTCCCTCGTTTGCCTCTTGTTGGGTTTCATCATCTATCGAGAATTCAAGGATATGTTTATTATTTATTAATTCTTGTTATCACACTGACTCTTTGGAAAGTAAGATTTTGAGCTCATTACACGGACTAAAATTTGTCAGATATAAGTAGCTAAGAAGGGTACTCTCAATACTGTTGTGGTTCTCTCCATATTTCAATGACTCTTGCTCGAGAGAGAAATATTGTTTTAAATTTCGTAACAATGACTCGCTGAAACAAAGAGTCACACGACTATAGCCATCAAATCACGCAGTCATACAAAAACCAAATAAAAGGAAAATTGCTTTTAAAAATGAAGTTTTCAACTTAGCCCGGGCAAAGAGACTAAACTGAGTTGAACAAAACGCTCTGATAAAATTCTAATTCAAATTAGGTTTTCTGAGAGCAGCAAACAATAAACGGATGTGTTTTTGTCTGCAAGGCGCTTTTGTAAATACTTCAAAAGACATGTAAAATGTTCGATTTGTATGGATACTTACACTAAACCCAAGACCATTGCCTGTCTGGCTTAATACGTTCTGCAGTGAATGCCTGGAGAGACGTGCACTAACGAGGCAAAAACAAGGGTTGTATTCATGCCCCAAGTGTCAGGTACAAGTTCGCCGGATCCCTGACATAACATATAAATCCCTTCAATTGAGCCTGTAAATCACACCTCCCCTCCCCCCAAAAGAGGTTGCGCGGAAAAATTCCTGTTTAGTAAATATGAAAGACAAGAAGATTTGGCTTCAAGATTCTCTAGCCTCCCTCCCCTTACATTTTACTTTCTCTCTTAAACAGTAGTACTGTTGTAAGGTTCAGAGCTAGGATAACATAATGCGCAGTATAACGATATCATAATCGAAACCATTCGCCTGTTCTTGTATCTTTCGAAAGAGGAAAATGTCCTTTGTTAAAAATTAAAGCAGAGCCATGTTAAAAAAAAAAAAACGGCCTGGCCCTTATAACGTTGTAGTGAAACTACGAGGCGCAGCCAAGTGTTTTAATTTTAGTTAAAACACATTGTTGACGTCAAGATTGTTAACGTCATTTCTATGATCAATAAAGTTATAGACAATGAAAAAGTGTGGTCAATTTGATCATCCACTTGGAAAAATGCTTTGAAAATAAAAACTGTCAAATTGTCAACTTTTACTCCGAGATCACGAGATCCTACAGATTTTTGATTCCATGCTCATTTAACTCGCGTTTTCTCGGAATCAGAGACACTGACTGTGAAAAATTGCGACATCTGCAGATATCAATTTCGGGATCACGAGAGCTGTCCTGAAGAGATCTGATTGATTGCTTTAAATAGTATACCTCTTTTGATTGCATTTCGAAATCAAGTATTAAAATTTACCCGAAGGCAACGACAACCAACTGATTTGAATAAAAAGATTTTGATTAAATGTTAATTTAAATCGAGTTTTCTAGGTACGAAAAACGATAAAAGGTGTGACTGTGTTTGTCTGCATTTCGCAAGGGAGTCACTTTTTTGAAAGACCTCAAAGAACATGTAACATGTTCGATTTGTTTGAAAACTTCTCCTTGCTTTTGATTACTTTATATCAGAACAAATGATTACGAAGCACTGTTATCAAAGTGGATTTCGTGACGATAAATACAGCCACGCGATTTATGTAAGAAAATTACGTAATCATACAGAAATAAGAGAATAGATAGCTTGAGTTAAAAGATTGTCAACTTCCGTCCTTAAATAACAGACCCTGAAGAGTTTTGATTCAATACTTTAACTAGAAATCTTTAGTTCAAAGTTTCTCGGAATCATAAGCAAAACATGGGTGTCTGCAATTCGTGATGGAGTCGCTTTTGAAAAACCTTGAACAACATGTAACGTGTTTATTTCAGTTGGATACTTACAGCAAACCCAAGACCATTGCTTGTCTTCATACACTCTGCTGTGAATGCCTGAAGAGACATGCACTAAATAGCAATAAACAAGGGTTTTATCGATTCCTGGAGTGTTGGGCATAAATTGACGTTCCTGAAGAAAAGCGTTTTGATAATCTTCCAAGTAGTTTTCTGCACAACAGTTTGTTGAGTCTTCTTGCCATCAGACGCAGTAGCGAAGGAAATGAGATTAGCTGTAGTATATGCCAGAAGAAGAGCGCTGCGATCAATTACTGCTTTGATTGCGAGAAGTTTATGAGCCCCTTCTTTCTCAAAGCACACGAAGTGTTTCGAGATACTTTGTTTCAGGGACGCAGAGTCACACTAGTACGTCAGTTTCTAGCCACAGTTTACGAGGCCTTGTTGAAAAACAAGTCATTTTGCTCTGAGAAGTACCACGAGAGTGGTACTTCTTATATTTTGTGTGAGCTGTCAAGCTGCGTTTTTAAGTTTGTTTTTCTCGACATTTCAATGACTCTTACTCAAGAACGAAATGGATTTGGGTTTCCTAACAATGACTCAGTGAAACAGAGTCACGCGACGATAGCAGTCGGTCGGTCAGGAGCCAAGATGGACGTTTCATTTTGAGCTCCCGCTTCTATCTGTCTTTTTGTTATTAATTTTAACTGAAATAATGCCAAAAGAGTCAGTTACTTCACTAAAGCAACAAAATCAAGATTTAAAGGATAAGGTCGACGCCCTTCCGAAGGAAATAACGCAGCTGAAAGAGAAGGTTCGGGTCGACTCGGCCATTACCTTTGGTGCTGAAGCAGCTGCTACGTCTGGTAATAGCATTAATAATGCTTCGAATGATGAAACCGTGTCTCGTAGTCTACAATATCTGAGCGACGAATACGACGACCTCTCAGCGTCTAATTCTGGTGTCGTTGATCAACTCAAGGCATTAAGCCGTCGTCTTAATAAGCTTAGCGCTGAAGTCACACGTGTTGGCAACGCCATTGACGAGGTTGAGGAATATAGCTACCAATTTAATGTAAAAATAATTGGCCTGCCAGAGAAAAGCAGTGAAACCGCAGCTGAAACAAGTGCCCTGTGTGTAAAATTATTCCAGGAGATGGGGGCAGAAGTGTTTCTGTCGGACATTGACATTGCTCATCGCGTCCCCTCGAGGCAGCAAAATGGCGCTCCGAAACCGGTCATCTGTAAATTTGTAAGACGCCTTGCAAAAGCAAGTGTTATGGAAACTCGACAAAGCGCCTTTCAAGTCAACCCATCAAATATTGGTCTGTCTGCTGATAGTGTTCTTGACAGAGTCAGAATCTTCGATCACCTCACCCCCAAAAAACAACACCTGTTGTTTGAAGCGAAGAGATTTAAAGAACAGAACCAATACCGCTTCTGCGATTTTCAATCGGATATTTGAAAAATTAATGTACCACCGCCTCAAATCCTATCTTGGTAAAAACGATATTCTATTTAAGTCACAGTATGGCTTCCGCGAAAACCATTCCACGCAACATGCCATTATTGATATCGTTAATGTCATACAAAACAATATGGACCAAAAACTTTTCACTTGCGGGATCTTTTTAGACTTAAAAAAGGCCTTTGATACCGTCGACCATTTAATCTTGCTTCAAAAACTTAATCATTATGGCATCAGAGGAATTATCAATGCTTGGTTTGCCTCGTACCTTCTCGGTCGTTCACAAGTAACTGAAGTGGGTTTTAACTTATCTACCGAATGTATGATCTCATG